TCGTGCTATTAAGATAAACCTCTCTATCGCACGATATTTTAACTTATTTAATTTAGCTTATAATTGAAATAAAAATAACAAAGAAGATGTTTTATACAGTTAATCGTAACTTGTAATGGGCTAATGAATTTGTTTTCTTCTTCTTAAACTCTTTAATAGTTCAACGAGTCCATAAAAAATATCGTTCGGTTGTTACTTCCAGAATGCCTATTTATTATACGAGGATAAGTGGTATAAATGCTATCGGAAATACCATCGGTGAAAATCCAATTACCCAGTAAATTGTACACTAAAAATTACAAAAGCATTTGGTTCTTTAAGATATTTAATATTAGCGTTAAAATAATGACGACGTAAAACTATCTAAGTGGACAATTACATGTTGAAGACAAAGGGATAAGAAGGTAGTAAGTACCGTGAGGAATGCTTGTTAAGAATTTCCATGTATGAATAATACAAAATAATGTCAATTTGATGTAAATAAAAGTAGCAAAATAAAGTAGTCATTCCAAGTTTTTGCTAATCGTACGGGGAATAATTTGGTGTCGGAAACGTTTGAAGTTTACCCATATTTCGTTTATTCAACTTGGCTTATCTTTTAAAAACATGATAATAAGTAATATTTTCCAATAAAGATATAATTAAAAAAAAGTAAGTATAATTCTGCTAGCTTCGCCTGAAGTTTGAAGATTTCTTCTTTATGTAGGTATCAGTAGCCGACAGAAAGTTTATGTGTTAGGCCGATAAATATTTAAATTAAAAACATGGGGAGATTACGCAAAAAAATAAAGATGAGTGTAATTGGTGCCTTTTAAAAAACATATTATTTACGTATGTATGTACGTAAATGTGGAATGCTTTTAATTTGTCTATGGCCTTTTTTCTACTGCATCAGACGTACGGAGTTTATTGTTTTGAGATAAGGATTAATTTATTAGAAAAGGGTCAATGACACGTATCCCGTCATCGGGCACATTTTGTAATTAGTTCCGTAACTGAATTTTTGATGCATTCCTCGAAAGAGATCTATTACGAAATGTTACATTTAATAAATCATAATGCAAATCTAATCGTTGGTAATTATTACAACATTTCTGCTAATGCTGAAGGTTAATTATTGCAAATAATTAATAACGTTTCGCCGATTGAAACATTAAGTAAAGCGAAACGTAAATAGTTTAGAACAGATAAGTCGCCTAACCGCTATTGTAATAGTACTCTTAATTACTTTCATTAAGAGAAGTTGGTACGTACAGCATTGTAATAGCGTGGTTAACGGCCGATTGCACTTATAAGGCGAAACACAGGAACTAATCGTAACAAGCTCCGATTTCTAATCTTAATGGAATGATCAGCTGTTCGGTAATCTACAGCAGTGTGGTGATAACGCTTTGTGCAAGTGTCACCCTAGGACAGAAACGTTACCGGCTAGTGAGGACGATGGTGAGCTCTTGTCATTCTTATTGCAAACCGAAGCTTTTTGACGTACTTAAAAACTTAACTAACTAACGTAACTTAACGTACTTTAAAGTACGAAGTAGAAATTTGCCATTATAAACCCGTTTTTGAACTGAATTATTTGAACTTTCGACTGAATTATTTGTTGCATTTCTGTGTGTAGTGTATAAAAAAAGGGTATTTGATATAATTTACAAATTTCATTTTAGTTGTCCTTAGAACAGAGTTATTATATTTCATTTCTGGCGTGGTGTCCTTTGATTGAACGACAGTTTTCTCGAAATTTCGCCGTTACGTCTTCAAATGCAATATAATTACACTTTATCGCTATATTCATGTCATATTCCTCTCGAAAATAAATTTGCAGATACGGTTGCGTTAAGTAATGCCATATTGAAAATAATAAAAGCAAAACTATTTGAATGCAACGAGTGACACGTTGGATTGCGGCAACATTGTAGCCCGCCGACTCCGTTTTGGTTGCAAGATAGACCGCAAGTACATAGAAACTGCTCAAGATGTAATAAACTAACCAAATACCGTCACTGTTTGTTACAAAATACCGTAACCTCTTTTTATTCAGAAACAATCAACTGCCAATAACGCTTTCTTTTATTATCAAAAAGTCTCTATCAAAAAAGGTCTCATACTAATTTTGGACTGATGTTGTTGTATACATAGTGTTACTTAAAAGAAATATATATTCGTTCGCATAGTTTTCAGCATCTACTTCTATAGATGGGTTTGAGTATGCGAACCGCTATATTTAGACGTGCTTGAATAAAGGTAAAATAAAAGAGATGGCATTGAAAGGGGTCAGAGTTTCTTAAGACAAACGTAGGCCGTTAATGACGAAAAAAATGTAACAACAACAGACGTGGTCTGCGGAAATCTCTGACCCCTCCGAGACTGAAATATATTTAAGTTCAGCCTTGCCTTAGCATGCAGTATGTTTGAAACTGTTAAGGTGGATATTTTCCATTGCTCTTATCTCGACATGTGTTAGAATGTTTAATAGAACAATAAATACTTGTGTCTTTCATGCAACAATCAATTTGAATAGGTTGCGTTGTAATAATAACTGTTTGAAGCGATAACTGATTAAAGAAGGATTCTATATCTATTGTATATTGAATAATTCGTTCTTAAAGCTGCTTACGGCTGTGTCCTGGTTGTGATCTGCTTCTGATCAAAGTGGAAAATTTATTTTCTTATGTCCGCTCCGTGGCAGAGTTTATTAAAACTCGCTGTAATATGTAACTATCGACATTGTAGTCAACCTCTGTGATAATGACCTCATTACGACAATATTTTATCGGCTCATAATAACTATATACTCAATTCACACTGATTATTGAGGACTTCGGTTATGTAGGTCCAAGATTTATTCCTTCAGATTTATGACATTTAATTGAAATTATAAATTTCATTTTGCGATGATCTTATTTATTTCCCGGCAGGATATAATGTGGGTGTTGTTAAGGCAAGAGCAAAAGGCTGAGCTTCTGTGATCACCATATTGTGTCACCACTGTGATTGCCTTACCCCTTCCCATCGGTAAAAAAAAAGTCAGTTTTGATTAAAAAAAATCGTATATCTTATTATACAGTTAAAATCATTAAATTTTGGTATTGATTCAGAAAATTTAATTCGTGAATCGCAAAACAGTGCGTCGCAATGGGAATCTGAGGATTACATGTCGAAATTAATGTTAACTTATGAGTATAAATATATAGTATAGTTATAAGTTATTACATATTAGGAATATTTTCTATAGGTATATTAACTAAGATGTTTATATTGAGTGATTGCTTATAACTTACAAGAAGGGTTTCAAATACACATTTTCAGTCTTCTCTGGCTCGTTATTTAAACTATGGCGGGAATGAAATGTGTTTAAATATAACGTGAACAATAATATTTTTATGTCAATTTAATGTCATACGTTGTGGTTTTATTCCAGACATTGGCATTTTTAGTATTAAAAATTATAACGATTTCCTGAAACGCGGAGCGTATCGTGAACCACATCCTGATTTCCAGTAATTCTAATTTTTTTTATTTGTACTTTACTTGCTCGGATTGATAAAAACTCGATAGATAATCTAATGGCGGCGAATTAAACGTGTTTGCGCTTTTGTGAAAAAGAGTTCTTTTTAAGAAGTTTTCCCGCTCCCGTAGAGAGATGTTTTATGACAGTATTAGTTGCCAGTGGCATTTCTGGGCCAAAACGATAGCAGGGTTTTAACGAAAAAAGGCTCCTCCCATCTGTAAGGGCGAAAACGGTTCTGCAACTTGCTCTATTGTTTCGAGTGTCTATGGTCTTGATAGCTCACAAAACAGGGAAAAACAAATATAAATCACAGCGCAAAAACGATTATTGTTATCTAAATTAGTACGCCCAGTAATCCGTGTCCACGATAATCGATCAAGTATAATTCGAATTCGACTTTTGCCATACGCCTACGATAGCGGTGTTTATAAATATACGCATGTGAGCTAATCCATTATCTCGGATTATTGTTTCTCGCGATAACTTTGTATTGCTTTTTGCTGATACGCGTGTACTGGCTGCCGGGCATAACGGAGAGGCGTTCGCGATAGCACACCTCGAACTGCAGCCGGCTTTATGTAGGTCGCCCATTTCTTTAACAGCTAATGTTGTGAAAAAAAAAAAATTAAACGATTTAATCGGTTGGTCATTTTTTTTTTGTAAATTCACGACGTTTCCCATACTTTTGAGTAACTGCTATCACACTGATAAACGCTAGGAAGTTTCTAAAGTAGAAGAAATGATTATAATTGATATTACTGCAAACATTCTGTCAATTTTCTATTCACTTCTCATTAGGGACTTTCTATATACATCGTATGAGACTAGGCATCTACGACGTTTAGGTCATGGGTCATTTTTGTCCTTGCAATTTGAGACGCGTAAAAGCATGAGGGGCATAAAAATGATGCAAAGTTTATAAAGAAATTAGTTTTTCCAAAATAGAAAGGAAAATGATCTTTAGTTGTAATAAATAATAAATATTTATTACATATTTGCTCCATAGGCAAAACTTGCTGTGTTGACACAATATTGTTTGTCACTGTAAGAAACAGCGCGTTTTTAACATTGTTATTTTATGCCATAGCTGCCTATCTTAACAGTGGTGTATGCACTCAATTACGGAACTAATATTTTCGTGATATCGATTGGGAGAGAAGCAACAACGGGCACCGTTAACGTGTATATAATCAAAAAGGCATGCACGAGTCACATCTTCAGGCATAATAGAAAGTAGGCGCGTGGGCACTCGCGACAAAAACCATCGGAGAGTTTGCAGCCTGTAGACAAATCCGTGCCACACACGTACGGGGTCCGTGAAATATTTCGTGGCTCAATTTGCGTCCGACGCGGGCACGATGATTGGATTCGGACCTCATTACCGGCCACGCGACCGATCTCTTTGTGATGTTATCATCGAACCTTAACTGACGTGGATCAATTTTTTAGTCGGATTACGGCCGTCATTCCCGCTTTTTGTGGCGGCTCAGACGTGATGCGCTCTCGCTCCTGTTTTTAGGAAGTCGATTAGCTGGGCGCTGTCAGTTCGGTCCTCCGCTGCGGGGCGGCGGTGGCGGCTTTCGCGTTCGTTACACTGCAAACGACACGGGCGTGAAACGTACAGTAGTACGATTAATTGAGCTCGAGTGTAAGGCGAGGTTAATTCCTGTCGTCGGGGAGTCCGTTTTTGTACACCGCCCGACAAACGGTGCGCCGTATCTGCGGCTAGACGGCACGCGCAGCGCCCGCGCGGCTCCCGTAATGGGCTCCATCTCGCGGATAAAGCGGCGACACCGTTACCTTTCTCAAATCACGTACACTATTGTAATATCCAATCGCTCAGAAATGAGATTGCGGCTAACAAGTTATTTACATTGACGTTTTAATATGGGGGCCCCCGATCGGGTCGAGGGAGTGGAAAAAAAACTATTTAAAAAGGTAATTATAAAATGGTGTCCGTAATAGCCACCGTACGCGCCGGCACGCCGGGCCTTTGTGACGCAGCTAAACCCCCACGAGATTAATTTTGGCGGCACAATGAACCAGTTCGTAGTGGACAAAGCACGCCCCAGTGAATATTGCTTGCGATATCGGTTTGACAATTGCGCGGTTACGAAAGAGTCCGGCGCGCCGCTGGTGCTCCCGGGCCTTCGCGATAGGATCTTTATTGCGGGCGATTTTCGGAAGGGAAAATGATTAATACAAGGTATCGGCGCGTTCGGATAAGTAGTGGAGATTGACGGTGTGACGGGGTCTGTGACCGGACGCAGCGGGCTGGGCGGTTGGCGCGGGGCGGGGGGGTCCAAAAGCCGCGAGGCAGCATTGCGCGGACGCGGCCAAAAACTAACCATAATTTACTGGCTACTTGCCGGACGGCCTGCGACACGCGCTCTGCCTTTTTTGCCCCACCCCCGATCCTGTTACGAGGCAAATTTCTCACGAACATCGCAGGCGCGCATTAAAGAGCCCCGAGAATAATTAGCCACGAAGATTGCACGTCGCCGTTACACTTGTGATAGCATAAGCGTCGCCATTGTCATTTAATTTGATTTATCGAAAGTTCAACTCCGTCATTGATGTCGCTGCTTTTTGTTCGGCTGCCCAAGATATGGCCGAGGCGGGTACGAGTTCGAACACGTGAGCTTTTTACTCGTTCTTGGGTGGGCAGGGACGGTCTGGGTGTTCGGTTTTAAATACAGGACAGCGTTCGACGTATTTTCTTATTCAAGGAATGATGTCAAATGAAATAAAATTCTACTATGTAACATAAATTCAATATCTAAAGGCTAATATAACATCATAAAAATGATAAACGCAACACACATTTCAAATGTGTCGATTTATGAAACTCTTCTTTTTCGAATTTTATAACAATTTTTTTTTAATCAGATTCAGTCCATAATAATAACCTTACTTAAATTAAATCCTGGTACTTTCACGAAGATTTTTAACCAAACCTTGTCTTGGTTAACTTAAGTGCATGATGATTACTCTTTTATACTCTGGACACTGTTTGAATTCCCATTGGTTACGGTGTCAAGCTAGAGAGGAGATGAGCACAGCTGAATTTCTATCATATATACAAAATGTTTTCGTTGTCAGGAGGCTAATAGATATGACTTGATATTATAATACCGAGAAGTTGATAAAGATAAGTATAAACATTCTTCTTATTAAGATTTATTGACCTAGTTTATAAATGTTTTCATGTTGTCCGAGAGTATGGTATATAGATATTATGTCATTTTCTATTAAAATGTTCACGAAAGGAAAACAATACGTACCTTTGTTTTCCGTTTACATAGATTAAAAATATTTTAATCAATGTAATCACTTTACAGCTTGGTATACATTTCACAAATGTATTATACATTTGTAGTCAACTTTAGGGTTATTACAGCATAGAAATTAGAATATTGCAATTTTAATGTTCCATTCGAAAGAAAATAGTATTAATTGTTATAACTGTCACGAAATTTGTTTACAACAGAAAATGTTCTTCTTTCGTGATCATTATGGAATACTAAGCTACAACTCAACAAGGACCTAAGCAAATTCTGGTTTATAATCACAAAATAACGTTAACCGAGTTACTTAAATATGCATCGATTCTTGAAAAATCGTAACGTCCGTACACAAAAATGCTCGCCTTTCTCCGGAGTCGTCGCGCAATCTAGCGATTACCTGCCTTTTGCTCCCCTCATTATGCAGATTCTGGCTGAAAAACGAATAAATTTAATAACGCGTTCGTGCGCATGCGTTATCGAGCGCACTTGCCTGTGATAATCTGTGCGCGCGCCGGCCGCACAATTATTGGCGGGAGCCTCTGGAGCCCATTGAAAATTTTAATTTGGCCTCTCGCGATCTACACCCGTTCCGAAAACGTTGCCGAGCAAATTTTTTATTGCTTAATCTTCGCGAAATCAATTTTATTCAGTTTCAGCGCTACGCCGAAACTTATTTATTAGACATTGTCGTGTTTTTTTTCCCGACCATTATAACACTTATTTGTGGTTCCTTTCATCGACGAAATTGATGTATCTAATTTCAACGACATTCTTTTTTTGCGCTAACATTGTTCAGCGCGCAAACTACATTAAGCGTTGGCAATATTTTAATCGAATGCGATTGTGATTGAGCAAAGTGGTGTTTGCGCGCAATTCGGCACTTTTTGCGAGTCGAAAGCGGCTAAATAGTTTCGGTTAAGATTTAATCTATTTAAATGTCGGCATTATGGTCCCTCGATATTGGGATGGGTCTTGACGTGCGAGAGGAAATGCATGCCTGAAGCTTTGCGGTGCCCTAATAAGGATAATCTCCGCACCTGAGGAGTGCAATTAATAATGAAGGAGAGGTTTAGATAGTGCTCGCGCGTTCTGCGTAAACATTACCCTAATCTCCACGAAGACAAATGCTATTTGCTTCCTTAATACTCAGTTGTTACACCCGTGTACAAACAAAATATTTTTTTTATTCATATACATCGGCATACATAAATATCGAATGAAGTCCGTGTATTGAGCACAAGAAATGAGTTTTTTCCTACTGATGTTAAAATCAAATCTTAGCGTAATCTTATCGATCATAAATCTCAGCATAATCGGTGTTCATACATAAAAAATATATACCAATCGAATTAAGAACTTCCTCTTTTTTGAAGTCGGTAAAAATGAGGTAAAATTTTTGTAGAGTCCGATAGAGGTTCAGCCAAAATTTTTGGCCGCTTTATTTTATAACTGAAATACTTTTATTTAATAGACAGTTTGCATGAAAGAGCTTCCACTATCTTATTTACAGATAGTTAAAGTGTAAACCATACTTTTTGAAGTGAATAAAAGTGAAAAAAAAACCACTAGACACAACAGTCAAAGATACAACGGAAAAAAACTGCAACATGTACTCTAATATATACTGTTGCCAGAAAGCGAGGTATGGAGAGCGCAAGTTTGTACGGAAAAAATCGGCGATACCTAATTAGAGTGTGCGTATGTAGAGCGTGTGAGGTGGGACGCGGTGGATTCAGCGGGTGCAGTCCGAGTCTTGATCTGGTCGGGAGCGGCCAAAAACTGGCCCCCGCGCCTTAGCCTTGAATGGCTTAGCCCTCTGGTCACGAGCAAATAGCTGACGTGGCCGTAGGAGGCCGCGCCCTGAATACGCAATGCGATACTGGGCACAGGAGATACGTGGAGATGCCCACGCAAGCTTTTGAGTGCGGGAAAGCAGCTCTTGAAGGAGAGAAATATTAATAGAGCTTAAAGTCCACTGCTGTAATATAATCATTTGAGGTTAATTCATAAGATTATGTATGAAAGAAAACATCTTGGAAGTTTGTTTTAATTATCAATTTAAATTAAAATGATTTTATAAATTTAAGGAAACAATAAATGAAAGGAATATATTGTATTTTTTTCTTTGGGCAGCATTATTCATACTGTTGATTATTTGGCAATTAATTTACATTTCAATAAGCAGTTCCAATTTTAAGAAAAAGATATCTTTGTCAATACTTTAAACGTTTTATCACAGATTAGTCATTTACGACAAATTAGCTTACAATTAAGATAGCTTAATTGTGTGAAATATACAATATTTTGAGAATTGGCAAAATATCCAATTCGTTTCGTAAACTTTAACTGTAACATTCATTAATTATTTATTAGTATTAACCGATACAAAAATGTTGTAATTTAAAATAAAGCTAAGGTATTAACATCTTTAATTTGATTTAATAATTTTAAAGATAGTAAGAGGAAATAATGAGAGACCGAAAAGAACCTGAAATGTCCCTTCAATGAATTGAAATTTAATGTTACAACTCGATTCTAAGGTTCTCTGTATTCCGATAATGGAGTATTTCGTATTTGCTTCATTTTTTATTTTTTGCCGGCCCGATTACGCGAACGCGATCTCCTCATCATTCTCGGCGAAATTCGGGAGCGTCTCAACCATCCAGCCTCCAGATATTAATTATTGATTGTCGATAAAGCATGCGTAAATATTGTCTGCTGGCTATGATTATGAGCTCCGTTTTTATTTGGCAGTACGTTGAAAATTTACTTCTTTTATTGTTCGATGGAAACTTCATAATGCTGCTTGGTTGGGTATCTGACTTTTGAAATCATGTTTATTTTTTACCATAACTTTTATTGAATTTAATACTTTATACCAATCCTTATTTATGTATTTAATGAACAATAACTTGTGTTAACTTGTTACTAACTAATTTGAATAATAAATACGCTATTTTCAGTATAACTTTCAGTTTTCAAACAATACTAGATATTCATGATATATTAATATATTATAAAAACCATCACCATTTTACTCAAATGACGTTCATATTATTAAATATTTTTTTTAATTTAATTGTAAGGAATCGAGTTTCTATCGCGGCGCATTTCGTCATCGTGGCTGCAGTGAATTAGTTCTCTTGACAAATGCGAGACTCGAAACGTGCCCTAATCTGCATAAGATATCTGCAGTGAGAAAATGGTCGCGGAAAAAACACATGAAAGGAGAAATTCAGCGAGATATCAATGCCCGTACGCGACACCAATAAAAGAACAATGGCCCTGTTAATTACTAAAAAATCCGCGGCGCTCGCAGCGGCCCGCCGTCAGCTGTCGTCTGCGCCGGCGCAGCCTGAAGAGCTCATACAAAACGGCTCCATCACCCTACTTTTTAATCCACGCTTAGCGAGCTCCACGAGACCGCTGACACTGTGGACTTGAGCAATTTTTATAGCACACTAAGGGGTTGTGTCTGTACGTTTATTTTATCATCATATTAATTAACTAAAAGTCACAATGGAATATGATAATATTATCCTTTTGATCAACGAGCATGAAAAGGGGGTCTTGGACCTTGTCTTAAACAGTATATGTTCAACGCAGCCTCTACCGATACAATGTACGCCACTAAGTGTTCCAACAGTCGCATTAAAAGAAAACGCTATCAAATTTGTTGATGAAGGTTTTATAATAATTTCCATTATCCCGCTTACGAGAACGTATTAATAAAAATAAATATGCCAACTGGATATTGTCCCGAATAGAAATTAGTTTCACAGTTACACGGTTAAACTGTTCCCATAATTTTACGACGGTGCTCGAGTCGCTGTTAACAATGCAACAAGTCCGGAGCTTTCGCTGCGCCTGCCGAGTGTGTGTATTGTGCCTAAAACAAAGGGCACCGTAGTGCCACTCGAGCTTAATTTCGAGTGCGAGTTAGTATTTGAATTGGTTTTAATCGTGGGATAAACAATGGGGAGAGGGCATTGGTGCGCGACGACACGCCCAGCGCATGTGCGCGTCCGCTGCAACACTCCGCTTCGTAGAACCGAATTGTATTATTACAGATTTTCAACCGCCGCGCGCGTAGCGAACGTACGCGAAGCGGCCGCCTCCGTGACATGACGGATAAATTCGATTATCCAGCCTAGTCCAGTTACGTCAGGACGCTCTCATTGCTCTTGGAACGATTCTCGAAATAGGCGACGTCTGGCAGTAACGGCTTTCGCGTCCTACCTGCAACGAATAGCGAAAACGATGCATTATTGACGTTCTATGTATACGGTACACTTAGTTGCACCTTAACTTCAAGTTCGTGATGTAACAGGACTGAATAATAGCTTTTAGTTAACATTGTAAACTTGAAATATTTGACAGTTTAATTACATGTTTAAAGACCTTAAACAATGTCTTCTATGTTGTTCTAGTATTCGACACAGGACTCCGTGGATATCTATATTCGAATAACGCTTCTAACAGTCCCAAGGTTCATTCGCACGGCTGTTAAGCGAGACGTTAGATTAACGTTTGAATACGTGATGTCGGGGAAAAAAGCGACGATTGCATATCGAGTTTTATGTAAATCGTCAGCGAACGAGTTATCCCTGGGGCAAGGGTGAGTGATGCGAAACGCGTGGGCAATCGCTGCGATCGACGACTCCCGCGCAGGGAAATGACGGAAACGCACACAGGCGCATTTGTGTTGTCGGCGTGACACACACACGCGCGCACAGCGAACGAGTCACGTTAATATGGAGTAGATACTAGTAATCCATTGTTAAACACATGTGTATGCAAATAAATATTTATACTCAACAGACGTTTGTATGCAAGTGCGGTTTTTTTAGAGTTTTTGTCCCCGCTTACGGGGAAGGAACAGAAGCCCCTTCGGGCTATGAACGGTAATTTGCTAGCAGGAGTTGCATAGCATTAACATTGCCCGTGAATTCATTTAATGCTAATCTTTGAGAATGTGAAATTGAAACGACATATGCGTTCGGATGTTTTCGTGGCGTACGATATGTTGTCACGCACTCCGAAGAAGAAAGCGATACAAAAGATCATATAATGATAGTGACCAAAGGAAGCGCCGAATCGGTAATTGAAAGCCGAAAGTCACGGACGAGGGATTATAAGAAAAAATACTATGTTTTATTGCAGACACGACATACAGATCATTATTCGTGGTACCTATTTAGTTTTTTCCATTGGCATCGGGGAAAAGCAATTTCGTCGTCACGTAGCCGCGTCGTCCCATCTCTGTCCGGCCGGAGGCGCTAACGTCGTTACGTTTGAACGTGTAAATATCGTTACGTTCGCGTCTACGGGCAGCGATAAGCTTTGAAATATTATCGACGAGACGAAAAAAAACATAGTTATAAACGCGTTGCGTTAGAAATCACCGACGCTTACGCGCGCATCGAAATTGAGTAATTAATTCCACACCGCCCTTATCGACCGACGATCGCTTTAAACTTCTCCCATATATGACGATATTACCAAAGCTCTTGTATGAAACAGTAGCGGTAAGGCTATAATATGCTGCCAGTTGGCATACTCGCCACAGTACAGTCGCACGCGCAAGTTTATCGATCTATCGGCGGACGCGTCAGCGATTGGCATCGGTTGCGTTAACCGTTGCGTTTCGCGTTGCAAGTTTTTCGAGTGAAAAAATAACTCAATTATAATAATGGTCGTCCTAGTATGGGATACCAGCGCTTGCATATGCAAATTTGCGGGGTAATTAATAAGGAAATTGTTTTCAATGTTATCTGCATTGTTGCCGACCAATGAAAAAATGTAATATTCAACACAGATAGGGTATATACACTTCGCTGTTAGCGTTCGCTATAATTCGCTGCAAAGTTGATTGATCTTTCTAGACGTGGTTTTCTTAATAATCACTTAGATTCCTCTCACGTGTACAACGCATATTACCCTTGTCTTTTGTGCAGCCATCAGATGTCTGCCCGAGATTTTATCATTTTAAAATACCTAAACCGTATAATTTAAATTGTTCTATAGATCAATGTGCTCGCAAAGCTCTTAGTTCGTTACGAATTATAAGCCCTTTGTTTGTCGAACTTCTTTTTAAAGCAGCTTAAAGAAACTTGAGGGTTGGGAAGGGAAGTAAAGGGTTCTTTGAGAATGAAAGTTATCGCGAGCCTAATCTTGCTGAACAAATTAGGATTAATTGAAGTTGTTTTATTTTTTAGATCCATCTGTATATTTATTGTATGTGATTTTTTTAATTACTAATGTATATTTTATTTCTATACTTAAAAGCCCATATTTTACAGTTCAAATTTTAATTACTAAGGTAAATTTTATTTCTATACTTAAAAAAAGGAACCCTGATTTACTCAATGTATAGTAGGTAGATTAAGTAGATCAGGACTAATTCTACAGGTTAAAACAATTACGTTCAAATTTTTACTAGATATTGTTGTCATTAAAATGGTTAAATTGTTACAAACTTATATTATAACGGTATGGATTAAATTTATAGTAACTGTACTTTTTTCAACTAAAAGGTTGTTTGAGGCATTTGTTTTGGAATAAAATTGATCACTTTTCAAATTTAATAGTCATATTTCATGGAAGTGTCAGTATCGTATATTTCGGAAACATTTTACCCATAGAGACTTTGCAGAATTAAAAGTTATCTACGGATTGCAAAGTGAACACTTTAAAAACATACAACGGAATGTAATCCGTAAATTAGTTTAATTAAGATATATGTACTGTTCGGGTAAATTCGTGAGTTACGTAGGGACTTATTAGGTTATTTTACTTGTTAGCGATAAGTAATGGATACGGTATTAAGCTCAAGGCGAATTCGCAGTCGTCAAGTGCGTCGGAGGCATTAAATTATGGGGTGAGGGGTGAGGGAGAGTATCCATAACCCGATGGCGGTTACATGCTCTCAGGTGTGACGCGGCGGAAGCGAACTATCATTAGCCTACCCACATGTAGGTGCGTGTTTCGACGCACGCACCCACCCACACAGACGTCGGCTTTGTTTACGCGAAACGCCATCGTGTGCGTAACTTTTACGCGAGGGGACGGATTATGGAGTTTTTTAAATACCACCTCTATAACGCACTCGCAATTGGAAATGTATTACGCGATACGATTAGTTAACTGAATCCTTAAAAACCTATTGATTTAGGTGATTGTTTTAATTAGCAGCCTTACCTGCACCCGTCACAACTGATGAGCAGTGATGTAAGATGATGAAGGAACGATGATTGATTGAGGAAATTGAAATTCTACTTTCTTATAGACGTTTTTATAATATATTTTTGTTATAGTTTATTTGTATTTTCTATGACAGATGTAAGAGGTAGTAAGTCCCGGGGACCATTGCGGTCCAGAAAAGATCTACTGTAGTCTTCTTTTCGAAAGCATTACCGCTTTATCGTAAGGACGTTTTGTATACACAAATTTTAGGTGGACAATCATCCAGATCCGAAACAATTATTTGTAGATCACACGATAAATGGGAATCGAACCCACAACCTCCGGCACCGAAGCCAATACCTAGGAGTCACGCAGTCTTCAGTAGCGGTAGCTCTGAAGTATTTAAAAAAAAACTAAAAGCTACAAAGTGACTAGTTGCATGAAATGTTTTTGGTGTAAAGTTGCAAAGGTTGAATCGCGAAGTCCACACAATGTCGACATATGTTCGGTTCTGTCTCAAATAATTCAACTAGAAAGTCCCACTCTGTTCACGCATACCCTTGTTCCCGGCGACACACGTCGCTACACACCGGGTGGACAATAAAATTTTAACGTTCAAATGCTAAAAACTTTTAGTCCGTTTTAACGTAATCCCGCACGGCGTACGCACGGACGATTTTCGCGCTGCAATCGCCGCACGTGGTGTTTGGTTCATAGTTATTATTTACAATTATGGTTATTCAGTTTCATCAAATTGTTTTTCTACATACCCACAAAATAGATAAAATCGATCATGGAGATAAAGTGCTACATTAAAAAGTACAGTAATGGCCCATATGCCAGTGCCAGGAACAGGCCTCCTCTAAACTTAGGGTATACCCTAAGTTTAGAGGAGTTCTGAGGAGGAGGCTTATATATAGGTTCACTAGAACAGTGCACCTCTCGACTTTATACCGGCATCGGGATTTGAACTGAGTTTGCTCGAGTATGTTGAATCAAAAGCGAACGCCCGTACACTGACCTATCACGGCTCATTAGTGCTGCAGTGGAAGTTTTGGAAAATGAAAAGTTAAATTTGATTTTCTCGGTATTGAACACAGGCCAAGTTCAGAGCTAAATCATGAAAACACTCTTGTAATATTTATTCAAATCACATAAATACTAGTTATAAACTTAAAAAATATTTCGGATGCACTTAATACAAAGCGTCGACGATTCTTTCGAGTCACTTCAATTACCTATTTAATAAAATAAAAGCTTTTAAGGCATTCGTGGTGGAACGGCGGTTTTTTCGCATTATGTCCACTGACTGAGAAGTACTAATGCGTTGAATAATTCAGGTAGAACTCTGCAAACTGTAGGCGGCCATAGTTATAAGGCTGCAATTAAGTGAATGAATCGTTAAGGTTACAAGGTGTTCATAATTTACCACGTGGTATCATGCATCGATATCGATGTAATTGCACTTTTTCCGAGTGAAATTTTTATTTGAACTGACTCGTTCAAAAGTAAACGATTTCGTTTTACGACTACTCGTGGGGGATGGTTGGTGCGAATGGAATTCGCGACCAAAAAGATTGTCATTTTTTTCCCCGGCCGTCTACCATTTGATTTGCTCTATGATCGTCTGTCTTTTATCCATTGTCGTTTGAGTTTATTTCTTTTTTTATTAGAAAGTACATAGCATCACATTGGGTAACTTTCAGTGATGAAATATTAGACATAATTTTCAATTCTTGAATAAGTAAAGTAAATTTTTACGACAATCGCGACACTGAGGTATATGTTCAGTTTCTTTTTATCTCATTGATATGAATCCAAATACGAAATATTTTAATATTATATTGCTTTATTCAATTCGAGCTTACAATATACAAATTCGTTCAACAGTTGCGAAAAATGAGCAGGGATACATTTGACAGAAACTTACGCATTTATTAGAACGACGAGTTTTACTGAAACAAATTTTTTCGTCGACTTTAAACTTTGTTAATACTATTATATATTATATTTGTTATTACTTTAAAGATTTTAGATTTTATATTTAGATTTTATATATTATTATTACTTATTATATACTATTAAGATTCCCACTGTATTGGAAGATTCCGGTGATGGTATACGATTAACCACTCTTTCCGATAAGGCAAGCCAGCCTGTGCTTCAGTTTTTTATGTGCACCGAAGCGCCATAAAATATCACATTGTAGACATAAAGATTGGCCAACGTGTTTTATCCAATGTTGCCCTTATTTTCAGTCTCTTGGGGCAGACTAATGCTTCATCTTCGTTCAGTTTTATATTTAATGCGTTTTTTGTCTTTAATGCTAAGTAAGGCATTACTGTCCAGAAGGTTCTCGAAAACAGTTGTATCTTGGTGTCTTCCTATAACGCCCTAATTTGGATCTTGAACTGCAGAAATGTCAGTTAGTAATGTTTAGAATGTTACGTTTAAAAAAAGGCCAAGTTAAACCAATGTACACTTAATTGTATAATTAAATTGATTTTTCATCGGTCATAGGGGTGACGAGAACCGCCGATCTTATTGCAAATTTTTGAATCAATGTGTATAGATTTTAAAGAATAGTTCCGCCTTATGTATCGATATTTCATCATTAGTCATCGATTTCATTTGATTTTATTAGATGTAATAATTTAATAATATTTGGGTTGAAGCAAAATAACATTTGAAGGATATAAATACAAAATAACTGATATTAATAATGTTATCCACTAAACGAAGTTTGATCCTAACACGGGGGTAGATATTAGTTTTACAATGACAAGGTTGAACTGCTTTTTCATTTAAATTAATTAATACATATCTCAATGTTGTCTATTATTAATGGAATTAAGAAAATAGAAATAAAATAAATAAGTTTAACTACGTTTTACTGACTGCAAAACTATTAGTATGACAAATCTAAATGTATAAATTATAGACTATAAATTTCGTTGTTCACCTATGTATATATCTAGGTACATTGTTAGAGTAGTTATTGTAAGGTCTAATATCTTGTAACACTCTTGGAAAATTAAGAGAATTGTGACGTCGTTTAAGATTAATAAAGTCACTTATAATTTTCCATCACACGAAACTATTGTGGATTTGTAACTTGGCTGCAAAGTCGCCAACGCTTAGGTACAAAGTTTAAAACTCTTTGGTGGTCGAGGCTTAACCAAATAAGAAGTGACAACCTCTTACCATGGACACAACACCATAGGTCTTGCAATATTGTTGCGCGATTAGTTTTATGGATATTAAATCTATGTCTAAACTCTCAACTTCACCTTGAGCTTAATACCATATCCATAGTTACCCTAAACAAGTAAGTCTCTATGAAACTCATGTATATTCGCGAGCAGTAAAGAAAATTAAATTAAATTATTTTACAGATTATATCCCATTGTAGATTATAAAGTGTTCACGCGTACGCCTGAGTGTGTGGGTTCGAACCCTACTACTGGAAAAGTATACCGTGATGTACATAATGTTGTGTAGCGTCTGGGTGTGTATATGATAATTTATAAATAAATATATTCATCGTATTACCTTTCATTTAACTCCGTATTGTAAAGTTAAATATTCGTCTTTATTATTATTTAATTACACAATTTGAAAAGGCCCCTTTAAGTAATTGCACATAATTAAATCGGTGATAAGATCTTTTTACATACAAACAAGCAAATGCTTGCTCGGTATGAAAATTTTATAACTTCTTTCTCTCAACTGTTAATTTAGTATACATCTTATCATATGTACAAATCGTAATTAAGTAAAGATGATGTACTGCTCTTTTGTATGTTAAACTAGATAAAGGTTGGATCAAAATTGAAATATAACGAAACAAACAAATATGCTTAACTGCATAGTGAAATTATAACTTTCTATTGATACGGACTGCATATATTACCGACAAATTACGTCCAAAATTTGAATTTCCGATTCTTCTACCATTATTCTATATTCTTCTTCATCTTGTTATCCAACAGGAAATTTAATTAATACGAATCGGTGAGTTGCAAGGTTACTATTATAATAAAAAAGCTCTTGTAAAGCCTATTGTTTTGCGTTCGCCGAATCGGAAATCCTATCGACGCTCGCCCTTAATAAAGCGCAGACTGCTGCTGACATCAACCGGGATCGCGGATAGCATAAGTGCCTATATTTAGAATCTGTGCGCCTGATTAATGGACGTTTTAGAGGCACGAATGTCGGCTATGGCTTAGGCGACCCGCGTCAGTAATTGACTCCATAACCCCAGCCTACAATCACGGCGCTCGCAACCAAGACGCGGCTGCGGAATCTCGATCGTGCGGAAATTATTTCGCCTTAAATTGGTGAAGACAGAGCTGTCTTAAAGTGCTGTTTGTCTGTTGGCTCAAAGGTGAAATTTTCACTACCTTTTTGACTTCGTTCACAACACTACACAAATTTCCTTTCGTGACGATTTAAATACCCAATATTTTTCCATTCGATTAAAAGATATACTTTATAGCTATTAAATAGCAACTGTCAAAGGTCGAATAGGCCCATGTAATTAAAAATAAATTAAAATTGGTTTTACAAGATACATTTAAAGTAAAGAATGGAGTAGTTATTGAACGGTGTTGTATACAAAACAATGAATGAACTGTTAATTAGGCATTGAAGATTATGCCCTGTCCGGTCGTCGAGTCGGTCTCGCGACAAATAGTCGCACGCTTCATTGTACACTATCGAATACAAATATTCCTATTTTCGGCTAAGGATGTTATCACAATGAAGAGTGACAATAGCTTGTCCATTTTTTTTTAAATGTATAGCTATGTCTATGGTGCACATTTCATACTATGCACCTTTATTATGGAAATAGGTTTAGAAATTTGTATTCAAAAAATTTTGAACGACGTTTGTTTCACATTTTTCCTGATCTATTTTCTTTATGAAAATAACTTTTATTTTATTTTCTTTACTTCTGATACGCCACCGGCTTTTATGTCAAATGTGCCAGCACAAGGCATACACTATTATTCCGTGTATAACACGTTGACTACGTTTGTTCCGAAATGTTTGGCTGAAGTAAAGCTCGAAGCGGCGGTGGTACACTGGCTCCACTTTCGTATCAGTATACGACAGTGGAGCCAGTGTACCACCGCCCTTAGAACAATAGATTACTCGGCATCGTGGAACGATCGTCCGCCTATCGCGGCGACGCAGCGGATGCGATAGCGGTAATATTGGTTGTGTATCGCGCAGATAGATTCCATTGCTATCGGTCCCTACATGGGAATTGTCGCGTTGCTAACAAACGGCTAATACCGTTCACTCTATGCGATGAACCGATATCCATCGCTTAACTCATAATTTCTATCCAATCAAATCAAAACTGTCGACTCTTTCACTATAGATAGTAAGTAAAGACATAAACCGATTATGTTGAGTTGCAATTATAATTCATGTTTTTCCCACTCTTATTTTCTACTTCGATCTGTCGTTCTTTGGAATACTTCCTACTGAAATTAGGAGCACAGCCCATCGTAACATGTTTAAGATTAAATACGCAAAAAAATTGATAAGCTGGCTAGTCAACCGAATCATTATGTTCTTATTTATTTGTTATATTTGTATTACTGTTTTCTCTTTACTTTTACACGTACTAATACTCTTAGCAAAATCTAGTAGGTTGACTGGTAGATAATGAATTCCTGAGGCATTCATTTAGTATGAGATTTGTGAAAGTGTTTAAAGTAATAGATAGATAAACATCTCAGACAACATAACATTCAAGGCACTAAAATATTTTACTTAATAATATTGTAACAACTGTTTATAAACCACAGTAGCTACAGTACAGTTCGTTTTCGGTAATAAAACATGATATCAAAAGGCGACGTGATAACTAAATTACGTAACAAGATTAACAATAAAAAAATCGTTCGTCACGTTTCGAAACGACACCTAAGGGGACGCAACAAAGTCGGGGGCATCCGAGTGCAGTATCAAAGCTGCCATATCGAAGGTCCGCAGTAAAGTTCAACGCACAAAGTGCATAATCGTAGTAATCGTCGGCCGGAGCCAAATGTCATCGACCCACTTATCTCATCCGCCATCCCTTTTACAATTACAACAACAAATGAGTAAGAGCTGTGCACCGATACGCGCATCGATACCGATGCAGAGGAATAAAATCCTGTGTGAACGAACTCTAATCTCCGTTTTGTGGCAGCCCAGGGCAGAGATGCAGGCCCGTTGATAGATCGCCTCGGTACGAAAGTGACGGGGCGCGGCGTTTCGTACGCGCCTTTTCTAGCGATTCAAGCACCCAACGTTAAGCGCATCGTAAGCTAATTTGCCAATCGTGTTCGAGGACTTGGTTCTTCTAATCACAAGATATGATAAGCGTTCTTGGATCCTTTTCCTGTATTCGATAACATTTTGTATTTGAATTTTTCAAGCAATAATAGTTTTTGTTGTGGAATTATTCTAAATTTGTCGTTGCATTGACCAATCATATAGCGAATTAAAGTCTCTTTATGGTTTATTGATACTGAACGAAAAGTTGAAACTATAAAGCGTCGGTAATTTTATCATTTATTAAGCTAAAGCTAATTTCCAACTCAGGATTAGGTATAACTCCCTAAAATATTGTTGATTTTCTTACTATTTGAAACAGTTCAAATTTCGGATAGGATAAAAATTCTTTGTCTTATCATTATTTCTATTTCACCGCTGCTTTTCTATGGGATGAAGTATATTTTATGACTTTTTAGGCTTAATTTTTTTTATTGGGGTTGTTATGAAACAGGTAGACAGATCCTTTTCGAGGCGTCCTTCGAACATTACCGTTAAACTGTTGATCCTGTTTGCAGCGTCATTGTTTGTAAAGATTTAACTGACGTAATGGGATAAACAAAAGCCGGGCACGGCCAGATTTCCCATTCAACGCCATAAATGTCATAAAACGCAGGTAAGCTACCTCACTTACAAGAAAGATCCAGCTAATTGCTTTAACAGAATCCCCTCTGTTTCGACTTTCCGACACGTTCGTAATATGAAACAAAAACCGCTTTTGTACGAAGTGATATTTCGGCTTCGAAACCAGATACGACAAATTGCCTTCGGTCGGCGGAGTTAAGAACGTGGAATCCTGTGTGTTTTCATTATCGTTGTGTATGCGTATTATAAAACAATTCCCGGATGAATATAATGAAAAACAGTCCAATGAATTTGTTAGCACTTCAGGTTACGAATAAAAAATTGTCGTTAACATTATAGGACGGAAGTTCATTTTCATTCGACTTAATTGTACATTGATAAGTTGGACGGGGCATATAAATTTTGTAAGTTAGGGGCTTTGACCGTGACAGAAATTCGTCATTGCCAAGTCGCATACAACTTGTACGCACTTTACTTAGAAACTGAACTGTCGAATAATAAGTGCATTGTGTGACCGTATACGTATCACGCGGATTAGTGAGGGGAATGAGTAATGTCGATAATTTGCACAAACGTTACTCTTTGCTGGGCATTGGACTGTCTTTTTTCGGTAAATGCGTTTATTACTGCTTTTTTTGTTAGGTCAATTGTATTGTTTTATAAATTAACATTTCTCAATGCTCGTTTTCTCTCGTTCATTTTCTTCTTGAAGAGTAACCAAGAACATAATTATGGTTGCAATTGAAAGTGAGGAAATATTTGTAGTACAACTGATAGTGCGTCCCCGGGCCGTGGACGGAGTCGATAACGGTCTACGGTACCTATTGCCGAAGGTCCTGATCGAGGTCGTCGACACCATGCGAGCATATCGAGACATCGACAGCGGCGGCGGGCGGCGCGCGCCACGCACTTCCGACGCGACGGATTTGCCGGAATCGGCGCGGGCGCATCAAAAGAGCTCGCAAAATTCGGACGGAGGCGCTTGCGCGTGAATCCATTTGAATATCATTTTTCGGAACCGATGACGGGAATGGCCCCCGTCGGCCGTAGCGGACTTCGCCCCACGTACTGCTGGCGCGTAAGAGCGGCCGCGATAAAGTTCCCGTGTAATTTTTATTGCGCGTAATCTCCGCTGTATTGGACAAATCGAGATGTTTCCATCGGTATTACGCTGCCACATCGAATACCCTCGACCGCCGGCGAAATTATTAATTGCCCTCGCATCGCGGGCCAGTCGTAAAAAGCAACAATTTAATTACGAAAAAATGTCGCCTCACAATTAAAAGCGTTTTTGTTCCCCCGTGCGGATCCACTGTGTCCGAGATTCGGCGAGCCGGGGCCCACACGGGCTTTCTTGCTACCTCACATCTCACGTTTTTGAGTAGCCGTAATATTTAAATTGCCGACATAGCTCCCGCGGGGCATACCTTGCATGGGAATGCGCGCCGGCGGCCGTCAAAACCCGCTTTTTCCGAATGCGGTGTGCATTGTCGAAACGCGCCGGTGCTAACGTCTCCCTCCCTGTCTAACCCGGCGTCCGCGGCCCGCGAAGACAAAGAGGCGAGCTCGGAAAGTATGGCTACTTTTACCGGGCGCATTTATTACATCAGCGAACGCATCCCGCCTAAAATTTTGCATGGATGTGTCGCGCATGCGAAAATATAGTCTGTGGCGCGTTGGCGGCAAACGGCGCAGAGGCACGTCCGCGACATTACCTGCCGATGCATATTAATTGAGGAGGAAGTTTTGTCAACAATATCTAATGTGCTCCAGGCTCGGCCGCGGCCCCATTGATAGCTTTTTTGTGTCTTTGCGCTACAAAAGTCCCATCGCGGTGCGCCGGTCGGCTCCTTATTAAATATTGCAATATTGCATAATTTATGACACATGTTTCCAAGAAAGCATCTACGAAACGTTCGCTGCGATTATTCATTGTCCTCGGCTTCCTACGATATCTGGACATTTAACTAGGTTGTTTATTGCATTTAATGGCGCGGCACTTGAGAATTGTTTCGAGATTATTATACGAGGTGAATATTTTAATCGTTGAACACTGGAACATTTGCACGGCCGTATGTATTTCAAGTGGTCAATATCACATGATAAAGTTTTATAAAATCCACGAAGCGATAATGTAAATGCAGATAATCAATTTCCAAGTGCGCTACCTATCGGATCTGTGACAACGAGTACCGTTTGTTTGTATCTGTAAATTGGTTATGTTGGGTGACGTTATTTATTTAATTCCTATGTGAAAGTACAGCAGGGAGAATTTATGTTAACCGCGTTAAGAAAGCCGTGATATAATCAATTTACAGCTCACATAAAATGGTATATAAAATCGACTATGGTGTTAAGCGACGCTAAGTTTGGTGACACTGCCGATCGGAGATCCAAGTTACGGATAGAGCGATAAGCATCGATGTCGTCGTCTTGTTAGATTTACACTGATTCCGTGAAGCATACAAATGTATATACGTTAGGAAATCGATTTCGAACATCGGCATGTCTTCCTACCAATCTCTAATCGAACATTACCCTTGATTGTATCGGATGTGTTAAGAATTTGTTGCATGTATTCTTTTAAAATTAATTACTTTTGTATTTGTAGAGATTTTTAACTGATATGACTTTTTTTAAACGAGACTTTTTTGTACGATGTGAGAATTAATGCACTCATTAGTTTTTTAAGATGAATTGGTCAAAGTTGTTTTTACTTACTTACACATTATTTATATGAATTTTCAATTTTATGATTTTTTCTCTTGCAGAAAGTAACCCGTAATTAAGTAAATTCTTCTTTAATTAGTCAAAATAGATACATACAAAATTTGAAAAATACAGATGCCAAACAGTTACAGACATACAAATATTAGTCCGTCATAAGTATAACATGGAATGATTTTATTATAAGTGTATGCGCGATAAGACTGATATTAAAAGTAAATTTTAAACAGAACGTGTTTTGACCATGGATCAAAAAGATCACAACAAGTCCGAGATAACACTATCTCAAGAAAAGATTTCATCATTTTGTTCAAAGCTCCAAATCCATGTACATATTTTGTTAACATTAATCTCAAGATTTAATAGGCAAACCAATATTTTTTATTTTAAATAAAAAAAAATATTACCGAAATGCGCGAAGGGAACATTTTGATAAGGTGTAAACATTAGTAAACCAGCAGTTCAGAACGTAATTTTTTAATTCTTTTAGTTCCATAATTCTGGTAATAGTATTATGGGCTAAAATAAATAAAATTGTCGTAGTACTCGAAGACAAAAATGAAACACGTTCGTTACTTGCCTAGCAAAGTTCACTATAACGAATACTTCTTTTTAATTCTAATTTTGGGTCCAAAAAGGTTTTATATCGACAGTTTAAGAAACAAAAAAGTACACTGCATTTAAAATAAAAAAAATAACGAAGTGCCCTCACAACTGTTTCATCGATAGCGCACGTTCAGGTTATCCGGTTGCCAAGATACGGATAACGTAACTACGATAATGTCTTAATTAGCCGCCGCGCTATCGGCTTGAGCCGCGGATTACGCAGATTACGGCACAGATTTATTGTTTATCGCGTTCTACTGTCGGAATCATCGCTTAAAGAGATTATTCGATAACGCGCGCGCTGTTTTCAATCGCGCGAAACGCAACGTGTCCTATCGCGTTTAGGATTAGACGCGGCCATATCCGAGTGCGGGCGGAACTTTTTCGTGTCGCGACTGGAAACTCCTTTTCGAATCATCAATGATCTCATCAATGACTCGCTTCCTGTTTTAGTTGGATGCAATAAAGACCCCATCATTTCATTCGTTAATATTTAGGTCGGTTTTTGCGTAGCGATTCTCACTTTTATTATAAATGCAAGCGAATTTAGTACGTCATATTATCTGATCGGTACGATATCTGATCATAAATTCGCACGCATGAATTTCTAACAATCGCGGCGTGCACGCACTGTCTGGTTGATTTTTTGCCTTTCATCAACATATATTATACGGTGGAATGGAAATTACTACTGTAGAAACTTATATACTTTTTTTTAACTTATATAGTTTATTCACCGTTGAAATATCATAGTGACAGTGTTTTATCCAGTGCGCACCACGTATTTATTAACCTTCAAAGATAAAAGAAAGTACATGATATTAAAACGAAAATCGCCATTAGTTTAACTAATTCGTCGTTAAGTTTCACATGTATAAAGTATATAATTTAATTGAACTTGATTTTATGAAATTAAATTCTAGATTTGATGAATTTTGCTCTTGGGGAAAATAACGCGATAAAGACAAATTTTTCAACAATCTAATTTGCAACTTAATTACAAAGTTTATTAAAATACGAACAGAGCTCAAACAGTTATGGTCATAAAAATATTAATCCCTCATAGGTTATTTATAAGAAAATTATTTTGTTATAAGAGTATACGCGATAAGGCGTTGATCGTGAAACGAAAACGGCCATTAAATTAACTGATTCGCCGTAAAGGCTCACAATATAATTGTGTTCAAATCAATTGAACTCATTTCAATACTACGACGTATCGGAGGCTAAAAAGTAAATAACTGTAAACCGCGACGTGAGGCAACATCCATTCGGCCGGCGTTTACCACTCACACGTTAGCGAAAGCCGAACAAATTAAGTTAGCACTAGGAGGCCCGTAGCAACTGGCCCCCAATTTGTGGTCTATCGACAGTGCGCCCTCCTGTGTTTATCCCGTCCAAAAACAGTGCGAATGACACTAATTACGCCTCTGTGGCGGGCCCGTGTTAATGGATTGCTCACACCGCTCCGAATTTCGACTAAACCGCGGGCCGGCTGTTTTACGTGGCCGTGTGCTTTATTACGAAACGGTAGAGCCAACACGAGTTGCTCTGAATCGTGAGGACAGGCAGTTTTGAGAGCGGACGCCATTAAATTTTTTAACTACTGTTTATATTTTTAATGTAAGAAGCCGCCGCCCATGAAAGTTTGCAAAACCCTTATGTTTGCGACTCTTATGGTTTTAATAAAGAGGGCCTCGGTTACTCTACAGATTTTCATTTAATACCAATTATCGTTTTCTTATATTTAATTTATAAAATAAGCATAACGGCGCAACAATAAAATTCTTTATAATACAAGAGCTGTCGAAATTTTGGCGTTCCAAGCCATTGATTAATGTGCGCATATATATTTAAGGGAAGATGCAAAATATCAACGCACGTTAACGCATTATGAGTAAAGTAAAGTAACAGCCTAAATATGTCACACTGCTGGGCAAGGGCCTCCTCTGTATAAAAGGGTATTAGGACATACTGCCACTATTACATAGGCCCGCGAATCCACTGCGAATTGACGGACTGCACATACCCTCGAAATGTTTTTGTTATTATTTCGAAAATATGCAGGTTTCCTCACGATGTTTTCCTTCACCGCTGGGCACGTGATAAGTCAGTACTTATATCAATAAGCATCATTAATGGTTGATATACAAATCCAAAGCTCAAATCCGATAACGTAATTACTGAAAAAAAAATCATAGTTGCTCAAACATTAGGTAGGAAGATAGACATCGCAATGCCAATCTCCAACATATACGATAAACATTTTTACCGTAAATGCGTGGCAGTAGATAAGTTTAATAGCCACTCATTAACGCGATTAGAAATAGAATATCCGCGATAGTGCAATTGTTGAGCAGGGAACAGTGTACAACAAGATAAAGGTTATCGAATAGCATACAACTGGCTACTGGCATACGCGATTCTTTGGACAATGAGGAGGCCGTGAGATATTGTAGGACCTGATTGGCCACGTCGAATAATTTCTCCGTCGAATAATTAACGACGTCACCGGTCACACAAATGTCGAGAATACTTTTTGTGACGTCGAAAATGATGGCGCCGATGACTGACAGAAAATATTAATGCAAGGGAAGTTTTTTCGATGGATTTTTTTGTTGGTTGATGTTTGCGCATTCAAGCCGTACACATAAAATGTTCACTGGGCACAGAGCTCGTAGAAAGGCTAGGTTTGCTCGAGATCGCTTATGTATAGAGTCACGCTTGTAGACATAGTGATCTCAAGTGTCAAAACCGTCTATCAAGTCTTAAAATATATTTATCTTCATCTTCGTTTCAGGAGTATCCCTTGCGTTTTTTCGCAATGTTTTTACGGAGGCAAAAATCTTCTTTAAATGTTCTTTATTTGACATATCTATCAAACTTTTGAAAATTTTCGTATCTTTTTGTACTTTGTATATTTTTTTTATTTGTTTTTTAGTAAAGCCATTGGGATAGTCTCATGTAAATAACTCCTTTTCATTTTCAATTAAGTCTTCTTTTTTAATATTTTAATTTGACATATTGTTAAGTGTATGAGTATCTGTCTAAGTAAACGGACGTTCTGAAAGCCCCTGTGAAGGAAAAATCTGTTAGAGCTCTAACCGAGAACAAAATATCAGCATAAAAGCGGACTGACCGCTGCGCTAAATAGTGGTTAAGATAAGAGCGGTTTCCGTTGAAAATATTTATACAGAATATATGGACTGTGGGAATTAGGAAACTGATTAATTGTAACGTTATGTAAATAAATTCTAATTTACTT